AACTATATAGTGGTCTGCAGAATTGATCTTACCAGCAATTGATGAAGCAATAACTTGTCAATATAGATTAGCTATGTAGTATGTCTGTGAATATATGTCCTGTATGTTTTTGTTTCTTTTTTAAACCTAACCTACCCTTCCCTTCCCTTCCCTTCCCTCCCACCTCCCTCCCTTCCTTTTATAATTCTGTGCATTCTTTTTCTTTGTTTTTTTGTATTGACCACGCACCCTTTGGAACATCATCCCCTGGAGGTTAGTTTCACCCTGACCCTACTGGCCTTTTGGAAGGCTCTAAAGATGTGGCTTTGTCATTGTGCTTGGGGATCCAGCTGTGGTATGGAGCCTGCTAGATGCCTGTACTGATTGTGATGCCTGAATTGTACTCTGTTTTATGGCTTTTAATTGGTTTTAATGGTTCTACATGCTTTTGTTGCTTTATCTGTATTTTCTTTATTGTTTTTGTTGCTGCTTTCACAGTGTGAGCTGCCTCGAGTCATAAATGTGAGATGGGCGGCTACATAAATTGACTAAATAAATACATTCGTTAATAAAAGAAATGTGAAACCACCACCACCATGGTTGGCTGGCTGTTTGGGGAAACACCAGGAATATGACAGAATACTTACTGGGCGGCGAATGAAGAACATGGTAAGTGCTCCTATGATTGGGACATCACCAATGAGGGGCTCCAGAATGACTCGCAGCATGCCGTGTAACTACGGGGAAAAGAGAAGCACAAGACCTAGTTCCCAATTCCCAGGCTCTGAAGCAAGCACAGGACGATCGTCCTCCCCTATCACCTGCCGTTCCCCTTGGCAAAGAGGGGGGGCACAAGGTCACAGTGTAGGTCAAGATGTGAGCCTCCTTTCAAAAATGGTGGGAAACTGAAGCAAATGATATGAGTGAAGGGATTTCACCAGTACTTTTTGCCTTCCAGTGCTCAAAAGTATTTGGCTTAGTTTTTATCCTCATCCTCTAAAGAGTTCAATACAACTAAGGAATCCCTTTTTGGATGCCTAGAATTGGTTGGCTGCCTTTCAAAGATTGGTGAAAAGACAGCAGATGGGCAGAGATGTTTCAGAAAAGTTCATGGGGAAGAAAGGTAAGATGGGACCATTGGGAATAATACAGTGTGTTGCCAAAGTAAAGAAAGGTCTCCTGCAACATTCTGCATATGCCAGAATTATGAGAGGAAACTTTTTCCAAAAATATAAATGCCATCACTGAGAACTAGTTCAGAGATATCTACTGCCCAGGGTCAGTCAACCTGGGGAGGAATTATGGAGGTTGTAGAAAACTTCTAGAGAACATCAGGTTGGGAGAAGGATTCTGATTTATTTAATCTTAAAAACCTGAAATGGGATATAGTTTCCAGATTTGCCTTTCCCAATCTGGTTTTCAGGGGTGTGGACTTTCCTAATTCCCTGGGAGAAAGGCTAATTTAGACCAGGATTTAGATTAAGATCTCAGTCCTAATCCACTTTACCTGCATGCCTTTCACTCCAGCCTTGCAGAAAAATTTCTTCACTTCCACGTCAATCTGGACATCACCCACGTAGCTATCACATAAGGAAAAGATCAAGAAAAAATAGCAATATGGGAACTGGAGGAGCAGGACTATGCAAGGATGGACTAACAAAGGGTCTAGAGCAGTAGTGCTCAAAGATTGGTCTAGGAACCTCTGGGGGTCCTTGAGACCCTTTCAGGTAGTCTGTGAAGTCAAATAAATAAATATTTTAAAATTCTTAGTTTTGATTTCTAAATATTGATAGATATAACCCACATAACAAAGTTCTTTGGGATCCTCAATAATTTTAAAAATGTAAAGGGGTCCTGAGACCAAAATGTTTGAGAACCATTGGTCTAGAGAATGGTTCCTCCTTCACCTCTGTCCATCTGAGCAGCTTTTTTCAGAGGCTGCTGATATCAGTGTTTTCCCAACTACCACCTGAAGATGGTTTGCATACTACAGGTAGTCCTCATGGAACGACCACTCATTCAGCAACTGTTTGAAGTTACAATGGCACTGAACGAGGACTTACGATGGGTCCTCAAAGCTGCAGCCATCTCAGTGTCCCGCAGACATGCGATTGCGATTTGGGCACTTAGCAACCAGCTCACAGTTACAGTGTCATACTGTCCTGCAGTCATGTGATTGCCATTTGCAACCTTCACTGCCGGCTTCCTACAAAGTCAATGGGGAAGCTGGCAGGAGGCCGCAAATGGTGATCACATGACTGTGGGACGACGCAACTGCATGGGATTCACTTAACAACAGCAACTGGGACTGCTGCAACTGCCGTTGTAAGTTGGTGCGGTCATGTGACATTGTGCTTTTTGACCACATCTCTGGGCAACCAAGTTGGCAGTCCCAAATACTATCATTAAGCTAGGACTACCTGTACAGATATCCAGCATGACCAAAGACTGCAAGAAGGAATGCAGTTGCTTCAGAGAGAAATAGTACTGTCTTCACTTAATAATAATAATAGTAATAGAAAGAGTAATCATAATAATGTACAGCATGGCTGCAGTTATAACTCAATACCTTGGATGCAAAATCAACAAGAAAAAAAGCCAAACAGTACACCACTGAAATGGAAGATCAGGGTAGAAAATAAATCAGCATGCTAAGATAGATGCAAGCAACCGAGAACAGATGAAAGAAAAGAAGCTGAAGAACAAGACCACCAAAGAATACCTGATAAAGAAATATCACCTAGAAACAAGGAAGATCAAGGAAACACTGGAAATAGTAAAGCAGCAAATAACAGATCAGCAGATACAAAGCTCGAATTGCACACTATAGGCAGAATCTCCAATTTCAGTTGAATCAGAAATGTTTCTCCCAATCCATCATTGGAGAGGCTGGAATGAACAAGTCAAAA